AAAACATAAATAGTACAAGACCTTCACTAATTTACAAGTATTGCTAGATAATAATAAATAAGTTTATACCTTTGTACTTCTCCCTTTGTACTTAAATGGATCACCTTCAACAATATTATCGCTCTTTGCCGTGTGCCATCTAAGTAAACGGGGAATTGGCAGAGGAAAATTCAAGGACTTCTTTGCATAATTACCAAGATGAGGAAAAACCTCATATATCCAAACCTGAAATTAATAAAATAACAAATAAATAAACAGAGACTGTGAAATACTATATAAATATATAAGAGTTTCATATCAATCAAGTCCATAATTGATAAAAATTATCAGAAATGCCCAGGGGAAGTCATACAAAGGATACGATGCATTCCCTCTTTCCTTGTACACTTCACTTTGTTTCTTCAAATTAATTTTGTTCTTCGAATACTTCAGTGTTAAATCAAAACACTTTTTGCCCCACGGATAACTCTTGAAAAAATCTAAATCATCTGCCATCTTAATGTGGTTTGAATCCACAATCTTAGATCGATCGTGGGCAAGCAACATTGAGTGGACGAACCAAACTAAAGAGCACTTCAACTTCTGTTCCTTATTCAATATGGTACCCTTAATCAAACTCAACAACTTTGAACCACTGATATTCTTATTCCTGGTCACTTTATAGTAGAATTTCTCACCTTTCTGAAGCATTTTTTTCATTTTTGCATCACCGGAGTATGTTGAGCAATTCAGCCTTGTAATCAATGCAAACTCTTTTAAGCCAAAACAAGCAGGCTTATCATTCACACAAAATCACATCTCATGCAATTTTTTATTATTTTTGACACGACACAACAACATTGGGTGCGCACAGGGTTAAACCCCCGCTCCTATGCAATAGCTCGCAAACCACATAGGAGAGGTAACCCGCACTAGGCAAGCCCAGTGCAACGAGCTCGGCCCAGAAGCAAACCCCTTGCTTTCGCTGGCAAGGGGTCTCGAACTTGAGACCTCCAACATAGAAGTCCCAAGCCCAAACCACTGGGCCACCCCGAAGGGTTCATAAAAAGGTTCATTCATAGTATCAATCTCTCTGTCGTACTAATCATCATTAGTAGTCTTGGAAGTGAATAGTGTGCTCGATGATTGAAGGACCTATCGACTTGCATTAAAATCTAGTAGTTCTTAGAGTTGGTTGAATAACTTTGCGCAACAGAACTTCTAGGAGAAGGGCTAACAATTTTTTTCATTTCTTAAAAAGTTATCTTCAGTGTGGGGAAAAAGAAATCTCTATCGCTTGCTAAGATTTTATCAACTACGTACAGTGTTACATCATCCTCTATTCTGCTATTTTTGTATAAATATGTAAACAAAATAGCAGTGCAATGGGTAACATATATATATACATTATTGATGTACTAAAGTACACAATGCATATATGTTGTTTATATAATAAAGTAAACATTATAGACCTTTTTCTTTCAAATCTCTTTTGAAGAAGAAGAAGAAGTCATTAATAGCTTAAAAGAAGAAAGACAAATAAAAAACCACAAACTGCACTTCACTTACCATTGACAAGTATTGTTGAATGATTATCTATCTATCTATATATAATAAGAGAGGAAAAAACGCCACATGTCAGTACCACAATTATTCTTGAATTTTTAGTTTTAAAAATGATATACTTAGTTAATTTAAATAATAAATTCAATTTTAAAAACAAGCAACAATATAAAACAGTTTTAGAAGAAAAGCAGTTTTGAAACATAACGTTTAAATTCAATTTTGAAAACAAATAACAATATAAAACAGCTTTTAAAAAAGTAGTTTTGGAACTTAATGTTTAAATTCAGTTTTAAAAATAATAACAATATAAAACATTTTTAAAAAAAAAAACATTTTGAAACTTAACGTTTAAATAATTTTAAAGCATATTTAAGCAATATAAATAATAGTAATGAAAATATTATTATATAAACAGAAAAATATAAAAAATTATTATATCAAAACTGTCCAATACACATCTATTGCTACACAATTTTTAACGCTATCTAATTATTTATTCTTTTTTTAAAACATATTTTGTTTTTAAAAAAATAAAAAGAAACTTCAACTACAAATAATTATCCCTAAAATTCCTCACCCACTTGACTTCTTAACTTCCTACCCCAAAAAAAACTCAACCGTATTAATTTAATAAATTTAAATAGGACAGTCTTTTCTTTAGTTTTTCCAGGGGAAAAAATGCATTTCAATAAAGAAAATTCAAGGCAATAATAATGCTTACCATTCATGAAAAGGTAATTTTTTTTTATCATATTTCCTCTCTTATTCTTCTGTTTTATGTGGTATACATTATCAATAATTGTACTTTATTTTGGAAGTTCTAGATGTTGAAGATGATTAGTTGATGAAGTTAGGATCAAGCCATTTCTGTGATGAATATATGTAGTTGAAGAAGGAGAAACACTTTTAAGACTATATCCAATAACTATGTCAAACATATAATATATTTTTATTGTTTTAATCTTATGTTTTGTTTCAAAATCAAACTGTGTTGAATGTATTTACATATAATTTATGATTCTTTGTTTACTGCATCTTTCATATTTATAATTTTTTAATCTTATTTTTTTAATTTGCAAATGAATGATGAAACTATGATGGAAATTTTGAATTAAAAGATTAGAAGTATTTAAATTTGAAGATATTATATTTTTAAATTATTAACTTAATTAAAACTAGAAACTCATGATTATGGAATTCTAAATAAACTCTTACTATTTCACAAATTTATCTTTTCAGATGTTATAAATATATTTAACTACATTGAATTTACATATAAAGGAAGATAATAATACTATCTCTCTATGTAATATAAATGGAAATTGACCTATATCTGCTCGCAATTTATTTATTTATCCTTACTAACATTTATTAAAAAATAGTTTTTTTTTTTCAATTTAACAAACAAATAAAAGAGAATTAAAGAAAGAAACAAGGAAAAGAAGATGAAACGAATAAAAGGGACGAAATGTAGGTAAAGGGTAAAATAGAAAGGATAAGGATAAGAATAACAAATTGATCCTCTTTTATTAATTATTGTTAATTACAATTTTTTTTGTATTGATCTTCTTCATTTATTATTTTTCTCTCAACTCAAACATATATAAATTATAAGAAAAATAATGCATTGTATTTAAGAAAATTCAAGGGTAAAATATAACAACAAACTAATCTTCTTTAAACAAACTAATTCATATTAAATGACTTGAATTATACTTTTGTTCAAATTAACAGAGTAGAGTGATTCTAACTCATGTGTTATTTTGATATTGTTTGTAATTGATTGATGACTTGCAATAAAATCTAATAACCTATAGGTGGACTTCTTAGAACAAAGGAGTATCAATCATATTTTAAATGCAATAAAGAAGGAAATTATTTACGAATAAAATTATTTGAGTCAAGTTTTACATTTTCATAAGATTCTCTAAAAGTTGTGATATTCAATAGATACCCATTCGAGTACTTCTTTTGATAAAGTAGAGTTAATGGGTAATATTATAAAAAAATAACTATAAATTGTAAAACATATACTTTATTAGATTAGTTTGTATTATATGTAAAGTGAGATTAATTTGTATTATATTAACTTATGTTGTACTTAAGTGGATTTTATCATAATTGAATATTACATTTAAAAAGTTCTACGCGTATTTTCATCTATTATATACACTATTATTTTATGCATATTAAAAAAATGCTAAAATTATTATTAACAAATTCAAATTATGAAAGAATTTAATTTATAGAATGAAAGAGCATAAATAAATAAAATTTTAAAACAAAGAAAAATGTTGAAGAGCAACACGTGAAGCAACTAAAAAAACTCTAAAAACAAGCAAAAATTTTATCGACATGAAATCTATTGTCATTAATGGGATCAAACTATGTTATACATATTTATATATAAAAGTTGATTTACGTGTTAATAGTTGATACACTAATTTAAATGATTTTTTTCATGTATACAAGTGTATACTATATATTCAAGCATAAATATAACATTATTATTTTTTTAATATTATCCGCGCATCGCGCGGGCACGTATACTAGTTTTTTATAAAATTGATAATTAAATTATTTTGAATAAAAATTTATGATCGAAGGATCATTTTGCTTAATTATCTCTTACTTAAATGATATGATTAAAATTGAAAGGCCCGTGAAATTTTTACCATTTCTTCTTTTTTTTTAAAAAAATTCAATATGTTAGGCCTACGAAATAGCCCAACCCAATAGCCTCAATACACTTATAAATAATCTCACATATAGATTTTTATTATTATTATTATTTATACATTATAGTTTAATATTGTAAATAATTTTTCTTTAAGCCCTTATGAAGTGATATTATTAGCTAGGTCATCAACAAAGATGGTTATAAAGTGATAAGTATTTCTTAATCCTTAGTCAGATGTTTCTGGTTCAACCTTTGAAGGATATAGAATTGCTTTTGTTACAAAGTGTCTTACCTCAAATATGGGACTTTGTTGGGTAAATTCAGATTGAGTAGGTCGTTTTTTATTAATAAGAGTATAACACGATGGATTTGTTCCACTTTTAAAAAGGAAAGATATTTTTTTATTAAGGCATATTAGCACTAATCTATACTAATATTAGTTTTAAAAAAAAGTAAATATCTCTCCACTATGTAAAGCATATATAGTTGTGGCAAAGATTTATTTGTTAATTTAAGAGGTGAAAAACTTTACCAAAATGAATTCGATTCACAAATACAGTTGAATATAAAATTTAAAAAACAAAATCTTCTTCTTTTATTTTCTAATTTACAATTATCTTTACATAAAAGATTTAATAAATTGTCATAGAAGAAAAAGAAATAGAAAAAAAGAACTTTGTATCTGATCTTTGTGGATCGAAATGTATATATGTACAGCCCTTCAAATAATATCCAAAATAGACTTGTTTTTTTTAATAATAGATGAACTCAATTCTCATATACTATCGACACTACGATTATAACGTCGAAAAACCATCGAACATTCCGGTAACTCACCGAGATCACCGAACAATGATTGGTCCTCCTCGCCGATCGGCAACATGAATGCCACATCATCATCAACCCAAGTGGACCCCACCATCGTCGGCGAAGTACAATATTCTAACAATGTGGGCCCCACATAGGAGAAACAACCTAATAACTCTCCGGCACAGACCTCGGCCATGATGAAGTCGTTTTCGGGTTGGTAGGTGAAGACGGCCGATTGATCGGTGTTTGTGGTGGTAGAAGTGGTGGTCAGGTGGCGGTGTTTGGTGGCGGCCGCCGTAAGAGGGTGGTTGTGGTGGGAGGAGTAGGTGATAATGAGTACATTGGGGTCATGGTGGCAACGCTCTACTTGTTTTTTTGCTGGACAACCTTTTGAACTACTACATCGATAATAACCCCTGCATGAGATTACATGCAATAATAATTATTATTTTTAATTTATTTTTACACAAATGGTATTAAAATTATGAAACAAAATTATATTCATAAATGTTGTATATGAATTTATATTTTTTATGAACTAAAGTTGCAAACAAAAACTATAATTGACATTACTAAAAAATCACTATTTTTTCACTAAAAAATTGTACCATGATTATTTCTACAGATATTTTAATTGAATCGATGAGAAAAGAAAAAATAGTAAAGTTTTCATTTAGGAAAAATTAGGAAATTTTCACTATTTCAGTGAAAATCTGTTTACTATCATGTATTTTTCTAGTGAATTGACTTAATAAAAAATGAGTAAAAGAATCACGTTTTATAACATAAATTATTCACCGACGCGACAGATAAAACCCTTATTCTAGTAATTTAATTTGAAAAATATGAAATGCGACTTTTAATTTGTAACCCTTTAGGATTAGCATTGATTTAAAAAAAAAAAAAGAGTAATTGACATATTATAACAAGTTAAATTTCATTAATGGTGAACTTGTTTATAATCTATGTATATAAATTCATAATGAATTAGAATTAATATATATCTATCACGAGAGGACAAAATTTAAATCTTCATCAGTATAAAAAAATATTTAGATAATTTTTCTCATATATCTAAATTATTTTGATGATCCGAATTATCTAATACTTATACTAGTAAAATGATTGAGTATCTAGTATTTATACTAATAAAAAAAATAAGAACTTAATAAAATATTCTAAGTACGTACAAATTAATCGAAAACATCACTATTATTAGTAACAATCTTAATGAAAACACAATAGCAAGATATTCAAATAAAGCAAAATCACCAAAAGTGTGCAATCTCAAAACTTGTTTGGAACCTTCTTTTTATTAGTGGAATAAAATTAAAGAAAGCACTATGACTTGTTCTTTTTTTTTTTCACAAATTAGTAAATAAACCAAATATTAGTGGAACTTGATCCCATATAGACATACTACACATGTGAAAGAGTGGATTAGAAAGTTATTTTTTATTCCAATGAAGTTAGAATTTTCATTAAAAAAAATTAAATACAGCAAATATATGAAAAAGTTTAAACAATTCAATATATACTATATATACATAAATAATAATTTTAATAATTAATTTTCCTTTCTTTTTTTCACCGAGGCCCTTTCGTTTGGTGCCCTAGCTAGATTACCTTCTTTGCACTTACATATATACATTTGACCTAGATAAGATCACAAAAGAAAAAATGGTTTGGAAGGAGTATTGTTGGTATACCCTATAGTACGCCAATTATTCTCAACTTTGATTTTTTCTTCGAATTTATACGATATTATTTTTTAACGAATAGGACTACGTTCACGATACTTACCTTGGTCACTTTTAGGGTTGGTGTCATAATGTAACAAGTGGGCATACTAGCTATAAAAAGAAACGACATGCAATGATAGTTTAATAATAATGGTTAATAATAGAACTATGTCAATAATGGATCCATTTTTTGTGGACATCCGCATTAATGTTGTAGAATTAATCTAAATTATTATTTAATTATTATGAATCATGAGCCCCCACTTAATTATAAACTAGAACCATTACAGCAAAGAGACAAAGTATTAATTCTTTTATAATATAATATTCTTCTTACAAAAGCAAGTTCAAGGAATTCATTGAGTCGTAGTGAAATGAATGTGATCTCTTTTATTTTTAATCAGAGATTTCGAGTTTGAATCTGTAAGTGTAAAATAAATAAATTATTAGAGCATTATCTTATAATGCGCGAATTCAAATTTTACCAAATCCTAATATGATTACCGAATAGAAAACTAAATATATTTTGTAAATTACTTGAGTTATTTAGAGAAAGATAAATGATAGTTTAGATAAATATTTTTATAATTACTAAAGCTATTAGATATATTTTTCAAGAGGTGTGTAAAGAGTGATGAATTATTAGAAAATTATGTTAGCTACGGATTCAAAAATTTAAATATGAATAATGACTTTCTTTACCATAATGTCAAAAGATTATATAATATAAGAAAAATAATTTAAATTATTTTTGTTGTTCTATTTAGCTTCTAAGCGTACCACGAACTTGAAATATCATATATAGGTATATTCACAAGTAAACTTCATTAATTCAAATTTAAATAACTCATCGTTATAAATCATTTTTGAATTTACAATTAGCTCAAAGACATCCGAATCATCTCTTCCTTTTTACCTCCGTTTTAAACGGAAAAGGTTCCATCAGGTTCTTAGTAGTCATCGACGATCCATATTCAATAAAACACATAGGGAAATTGAACTTCTAACTAAAACAAGAATTTTAGAAGGAAAAAAAATCTTTTCCAAGTGATAATTATTATAATATTATTAGAGAATATTAATTACTATATTTTTATGAAATGCAAAAGGAATATATTAAATTGGGAAAAATAAATAAAAACAATATTAATTATTAATATACCTGGGATAAGGTGATCCTTTAATTGGTTTTTGGCCATACTTCCTCCAAGTACAAGAATCAGATGGAGGATAAACATCCCCTTTATAATTACTTCTTGATATATCACAATCTTTAATTGGCACTGAAATTACTCTCTTCTTTGCTCCCTTTTTACTACAATAATTCAAAAACTATAACATATTATTTTCTCAATATATCACCACTCATCAATTACCCCCAATGGCTAGAAAAAACATTAATTTCTGATGGACGTTTCATTTGAATATAGCTCGTGATAAGGGTTTTTTGACATAAAAAAAACCGTCTAAAATGTTCCCTCACTAAAAGAAGAGGAAAAAAGAATCAAGAATTCATATACAAATTACCTTAATTTTCTTGGTAATGGCATGTTAACTTCAGTTATTTCATCATCGCCAGATAAAGATTCCTCAGCTGAATTTTCTGCTATAGAATCTTCTCTGTATCGTTTTAATTTTATCGAATGCCTTTGAAATGACTCTTCTTGCTTATGAAAATATGGATCTTTTTGTAGCTTCACACCTTCCATGACCAAAAATTAATAAGCTAAAGCTAGGTTGTGTTGAAATTAAATCTTCTTTGTTACAACTATTTTTGGTAGCTATGTTCTTCAATTTCAAGAACTTTCAAGGCTTTAAATATGAGGTGCATTCAAGGAAGAAGGAAAGTGATGGAATTTGGCTTAAAATAATATATGGTGAAGGAAAAAATGTATTCCACTCGTCCTACTTTATATAATTATATTACACACTTTCCTGTTTAATCAATTACAGGAAGAATTATACGTTTTTATATTTAGTAACAATTTAACTTTTAATGTTCATTTTACCCTTAATAATATGTTTTATAACGGCACAAATATTTATGACTTATTTTAAACGACAAATATCAAAAGGTTTTTTTCTTTTCTAAACTCAGTGTTCAATCAAACTAGATCATATAAATTGTTACGTGGGATAGTTAAATGTTTGACAGATTGGCAATAATATAGTTTATTAAGGACGTGGGAGCAATTAAGACATAAGAATAATAATTGTGATTTGTCACAAAGGGGTGCTGTGTTCATGTAAAAAAAAGATATTTTTTAAAAGGGACCTTAAACTTAATTTGTTTTTCTTTTCTTTTCTTTTCTTTTTTGCCCCTATACTTATAATCAAATATTGATAAGACATGAAATTTCTGTCACATTATTTATATCAAGTTGGACAATTTATTATATCCAAAAAAAAAATGGATATTAGATTAAAATGGACTGAATTATAAAATTTGTTTGAGTCGTGATTTGCTCAAATAGTCAAATTTACTTTTAGTTAAAATGGGCTAAAATTGAGTTAAGCTCAATTAATGATCAAGTTGATAAAGATTTGAATGTATTTTTTTTGTGCTTTATTTCCTTTCTGATGTTTATCTGATACTTGTTTTGAAATTTGATTAATTTGAAATCGTAAAGAAAAGCTTTACTTTAAATTTAAATGATAATGCACTTCCAAATAAAAATAACTTTATTTTTAAGATTCACACATAAAAACTCTAATGGAAAACGAAAGAATAGTTAATTATTACTCACCACAACCTTTTGCACTATTAATGAAGTTTAATTTGTTATAGCTAATGCCTAATAGTATATCTTATTTTGAAGTTACTAATCCACTTTCTATCAACATTTATAGTTATAAATTATGGAAATCATATTAGTCCTTTATATTACTTAATAGTTCAAGTGACTCAAGTGTATAATATTCTTTTATACTACCGGTATAAAAGATCAAAGGTGGAATATCATGCTTGAATACTTGTACTTTTTTTTTCTTCCTTTAAATTTATTTTTTTTGGTTGTTAGTTTGATTTATCAGTTTATAAATATACTTAAATCAATAATTGATCAACAAATAGTGATCCTTAATGATGTGATCGTCGATTAAACCGATAAAGATAGATCTTCTAAAAGCTAACTCTGTATAATCTCATAAGTAAAATACGTAAAATAGTGACAAATCTATAATTTTAAGCTCGCAAGTGCTTGCTTACATAGAGTAGCTACAAATCACCTAGTAAAATGTTATTGAAAAAACTACGATTAGGATCAACCATTACACACAGTTTAAAAAAAAAAAAACACACATCTTGGAAAATTGAAATAGCAGGATTTTTTAGCCAATTGCCAGATTTTTTTTCTGTAAAAGTTACTCAATAAAATGATAAGAACAAATTTTTGGTACGTAGCTAAACTTAATTATTCCAATATAAAAATTTGGTTTATTTTCATTATGTTTTTCTAGATGACTTTTTTTTCTATTAGCAACCAAAATTATTGGACAACTATTTCCAACTTGATTAAAAAAGAAACTCGGTTCTATGAACGATTTTGGATCAAAATGATAAAACAAAGAGGGGTAGAGAGGTAGAGAGGTTGTTTCTGACAGACTCTCAACACAACTAAAAAGATTAGCACAAGTAAAGAAGTCGTAACAAAATATTATAGAAAGCATGGCAAAACAGTCAAAAAACATAGCCAAAAATGAAAACAAACTAACATATCCAGATATGCCAAATAACATTAACTCACCAAAACTTTTCAACTCCTCAAAGAGTAATAATAATTGTTGGTCTACAAAATGGATAAAAAACATAACACTTGCTGGGGAAACAAACTGATCCAACACTGGGAATTCCAACTTACTGAATGTTTGAAGATTTGTTAAGGATGACACCTTCATATTTGACCTGGAACCACTTCATTGAGTCCTCTTTTGTGACCCTGTGTTGAATTCCAACTCGAGACTTGCACCTACGACGACGAGCAACACGGTATCCTGGGCGCTCTAGCACAACATAGAAATCCATACCGTAGATACCGGTTGAAGGATCATACCTGTAAAACAAAAAAGTAACAGCACAATCATCGTACAGCCTTATAAAAAGAGTATGACATATAAACATCCTATGCTCAGCGGTTGAGCCACCCTTGTCACCCCCCCCCCCTTCGAGTGTTCACTTCTCTATATTTCGACTCCTTTGAGTAAAAATCCCAACTCAATCATTGCCCACACTCATATAGAAGTTGAGGAAGACGCAACCTAAGAAAATCTTGAAGATGAAATTTGCTTAAAATGAAAGGCGCCAGCAACATAATTTAAAGCTTAATGATCCATATGCAAAGAGCACAACCCATGCAGACAGCCACCTCCACATTATAAAATTAGCAGCGTTTTTAACCGATTAGGTAGAATGTTATCAGTACTCAAAATAAAAAAATAGGGTGAAAGTACTCCAAATAAAATTATTAATCATATAAGCAAGATACAAATCTGCTTACTTAATTCCAAGATCGATGTGCTCCTGGATACCAAAACCAAAGCAGCCAGTCTCACTGAAGTTTCTTCTCAACAACTCGTATTCCTTGACTTTCAATCCACTCTCAAGGAGCTGCATAGCTTTCTCTCCTCTCACGGTGACATAGCAAGCTATCTTCTCATTACGCCTGATTCCGAAGGATCGCACAGTATACCTAGCTGTCAAAGAGAGAAATACAGGCAACAGAGGAGACTAAACATCATCAATAAAAGAAACGAGGCATAAGCACTTCATCAGTTATATTAACAAGCAATGGAATAAAACAAATCATGGGATTTATTTATTTGCCTCAGCACAAATGTATCAATGTATAAACACCGTTTTATTAGTATCTTATGAGAGTCCAGATATTATTCAACAATTCCAAAACTCAGAGTTCCTTTAATTCATGCATATATAGGTGAAGAAATCCACAAATAACTAGGAGATTCTTCCCATCTATCCTAGTCTTGGTGGACAAAGTTGTTGGGTACTTCTTATTGGTGGGAGGTGGGAGGTGGGAGGTGGCAGGTATGCTCAAAAACTTCAGCATGGATGGATAGATGCCATACGGCCGTTAGCTATTAAGGCCATGGAATTAGTCGAGGTGCGCGAGAGCTGGCCCGAACACCACGGTCATAAAAAAAAAAAAGGGCATACAACCATTAATTATTGGTTTCTTTCATCCTAAAGTGTGTCGATAAGATTCATCTTCATAATGCCAAAAACAACTACGCCTCAAACCCAAACTAGTTGAGGTGTGTTAGATGAATCCACAATATCCATTCCACCACATATGAGCCTGTTTTCACTATTCATATAGGATAAACAACTGGTTACTCCCACAACCTGATATTTACACCTCAATCTATATTACGCCACTATATGAATCTTATTTATTTAAACACTAAACAACTTTATGGAAATTAGACCCACATCTCCACAGTACTAATATTGCATTTCACAGAGAGGTGCCTAGATATCAGAAATGAGAAAAAAAGGGAACAAATTGAAGGTTCAAAAAGTTCACCTTTGGAGAAAACAGGGGATTGACCGCTTAGTTGCTCCAAGACCTACAAATATGAATCAACGCATCACTGATTTCAGTTTCACAACAACAACAAAAAAAAAAAATCAACTTCTAAAGCAGTCTCAAACACTTTAGAGAAGGAGAATGACCTTGGCCGCCCTGGTAAGCCTATCTCCGCTCTCACCGACAGAGATGTTGAGGACTAGCTTCTGAACCTTGATATCCCTCATTGGGTTGCTCAATTTCTTCTCTGATGCCTACTCATTCAGTTGAGAATCAATGTATGAAGATCAGTGGTTTTAGATATAAAGAAAACTGACTCGTATGTCATAAACACATATATTAGTGTTCAATATAGTCAATTAGAATCGCAGAATATTGATTCTTACATCATAAACACAAAATAGTGGGTTCAAATTAGTCAATTACATTTGCCGAAAAATTAATTCTTTTTTTACAATAAAATTGATTCTTACTTCATAGAAACAAATTAGTAGATGCACTTTAGTCATATACATTTGCAGAAAATTAATTCTTACTTCATAAAAAACAAAATAATGGGTTCAAATTAGTCATTTAGAATTACAAAAAAAAATGTTTCTTACATCATAAATGCAAATTATTAGGTTCAAATCAGTCATTTATATTAGCAGAATATCGATTCCATCTCTTCTTTTTTTATAACCGTGGTGTCACGACCAGCTTGTGCACACCTCAACTCCTTCCACAAGCTACCTGCCACCTCCCACCAGCAACAGGTAATAGATAACTGTACTTAAACCAGGTATCGCCGTAGCGGTAATTGATCCCTTCTACTTAAACACATACTAATTGGTGCACATTAATCATTTAGATTTGCAGAAATTGATTCTTACATCATAAATCACTAATTACAGCAGAAAATTGATTCTTACACCATAAACAAAAAACTGATAGGTTCAAATTAGACATTTAATTAGCAGAAAAATTGATTATTTACTTATTAAACACAAATTAGTAGATCCAGCTAGCAATTTTACAGCCAAAAAAAAAAAACTCATCCATTGGTATTAATTTGAAGGCAAAAATAACAACAAATAAATATGAAACCGAAAACGTACCATTGGATTCCGTTCTGAAGAGCTTTTTTTTTCCTGCAGAAGAAGGTGAAGAAACGGCGAAGTAGG